ATAATGTATAGTTAGTGATAGCCCAGTGTGGAACAATAAAGTGGCATCATAATATGACGATCCAATTTAACATCTTTGACATAAGGCTTGGATAGTACAATTAAGCACACACGTTTCCTTTGGTTTAGTAAAGTGATAATATCATAATGTAATGACTCAGTGTGACATTCTTGACATAAGGCCTAGACACTTCAATTAAACACACATCCACTTAATTTTAATAAAAATGAAATAATAGTGTGACAACCTAGTCAAACATCATTGACATAAAACATGGGCACCACAATTAAACACACACATTCTCTTGGTTTTAATAAAGTGACATCATAGTGTGACGACCTGTTGTGACACCCTTGACATAAAGCTTGGACACTACAATTATAAATGAACATACAAAAAAAAAATTAATGGATAAAAACTAATGCTCAATTAATATAAGATTATAACTTTGTTATACGAAAAAATATTGAAAATCTAAGTGATTAAAAAATAACTAAGTTTGTTAAAAAAAAAAAATGAAATCAAAACTTCATACCTGATATTATGCTCCTCCATTTGAGAAATTTTAACGCAAAAATCCATTTATTATAGTTGGGCATCAGTGACTAGTTTTTGGATAATGTGAATTTCGGCTGGTGGTTTTGACAAATTTGGAGAAGATGAATTTTGGTGAAGATGGAATTCATCAATGGCTACAACTAGATAGAAAAAACGTTAGTTATCCTATTTAAAATTCAAGCGTACTGTTCCACTAATTTAGGAAATTACCAATAAATTGAAACATATCCCAAAAATAAGGAACCTTGGCTGACAACACTGTTAATGAAATCCTTTCAAAATTCAAATTGGTAATTATTCATTAATTTAGGAAATCTTTTATCTTATAAAGCAAAATCAAAAAAAAATAAGATAACTGTCAAATCTTGCATATATTAACTAAGGGCAATTACATACTATGAAAATATGCAAATTAAAAAATGTATACCTTTTCACCAAACAAATATTAAAAATGAACTTAAATGCTTAAATGTCTGAGCAATAGACTATAAGAGGAATAAGTCCTACAAGATGTGTCCTTTCACAATTTTTCCTAGTTTTAGAGGAAAATAAGCCTAATCCATTTGGACTTGGGCTTATTAGGCGGTTTTTCGATCAAATTTTGGACAAAAACTTTTTTTTTCAGCACTAAGGAAAAACTGAAAAATGAGATTTATACAAAGGCTTCCAAGTAAAATTCTTTTCCGGAAAAACTCCAAATGTTCTAAGAGTTTTTTTTTACTCTAACTTTTTTATTTCACTTTTTAAATTTTTATTCCGCACTCAAAAATTTCAACTTCAAATGGGCCCATTGCATCTATATATAAAATTAATGTATACATAATATGTAATAAATAAATAAGATATATGTCTATGCTAAAGAATATAAAAGTAAATAACATGCATTTTAAATTTAACACACATAATTAATTTTTTATCCACTTTTTCTGTAAATTTTTTAGGGATAGATTTTTGTGAGTTGGAATGTAGGCTAACTCATCCACTTTTCCAATCATATGAAAAATTGAACGGATCTTAATATGATTGGATGGATCTTAATTTGTTGCACTTTAGCAAGTATAGCTAATAGATCACCTGTGTGTTTGTAATTTGAGATGAGTTTGGCAACGGTAATATTTGATGGTCCAATATATTTATGCTAAATTTTCTATTGTGAAAAATTAAGTTATTAAGTGGTTTTAGCAAAAAATTATGATGGTGATCTAGGAATAAAATTGATAGACTTCTAACCCTCAACTAAGACAATAGTTAAGGAACAGTCACTTTATTCGATGTACGAACTCTTAAAGAGTCAACAAATTGTATATAAAATAACAAACACAAATTTTACTCCAATATTTCGATAGAGGACTATTTATTTTATGAAGGTCTAGATTTTAAAATATTTGATAATAATAAAGGATATTTGACAATTAAAATGGACCATGAGCAACACACATATGCAAAAACTATATTAGAAGAGTCAATAAGAATGAAATAATAGCACCAGAAAAATAAAAATTGTATAAGCATTGATTGACGATTTGCCCACCTTAAAAATCATCTATTATTTCAAACATTCACAACAAAAAGTAAATAATTGTATTAAATTAATCATATCAATAAAAATGTTAAAAGTAAATAAATTGTTAATCAAACAAATATATACATTTCAATTCAATCTGAGTTGGAGAGAGTACTAAGTGAATTTATTTTTACTTGGGCGAAGAGATAAAGAGTAACGAGATAGAGAGAGAGAGAGAGACGTAATGAGTTAGTGAGAAAGTGTGAATTTTTTTTACTTGTCAAAGAGAGAGAGACGGTAGTGCTTTATATTTTTATAATGGAGTGTTGGGGCTATTAATGAAGAGGGAGAGGGGCAAACAATAGTTAGGAGCAATGTTATTGGGACATAATTTGAAGACATAATGAGTTGTCACCAATAATATGATAATAATTCATTAATGCTACAATGGGACCCATTATTAAATACATTTCACTATCATTTCATTGGTGACAACTCATTATGTCCCCAAATTATGTCCTTCAATTATGTCTCAATAGCATTAGTGCAATACTTAGGAATTAATTGGGAAAAAGTGGTTTTTGCCTTTTTAGTTAGGATTTAATTGTGGAAAAGTGGATTTAATTGTGGAAAAGTGGTTTTTTTTGCCTTTTTAGTGTTTTGATAGTTGGAGAAAGAGTGAAGCGAGAGATGAGTTGAGCCCTTGTTTTAGTCTGGACCTTTTAAAAAATTGGGTCCTTCGTAAGTTGGTATACAAAATTAAACTTAATAGTAAATAAGTCCATAATGAAAAATATTTTGTGAAAAAGTTTTCTAAAGATAAAAAAAACTTGCAGACTCTTTTACTATGTAACAGTTGCTTAAAACGGTTTTGGAAAACCAAAACTCATAATAAATCCTCTCCATAAAAGCCCATCTCTCTCTCAAGACGTTTCAACTTCGAAAATCACTCAACATCCAGTAAAAATTTATTTCCTTTTTTTTAGGGATATATTTTAAAGATTTTGGGAACCTTTGAAATTTAAAAGCTAAAATTCATTAATTTTAGTTATCTTGTCTTAGAAAATATTAAAATTAAGAAATTTTAATTTGCATTAGGTTTAATTTGGTCATGTATGTATGTTTTAGAGATTTCGGAGTTTTAGAGTTTACATGACAATAATTTGGGAGTCAGTGATACCTATTTCAATAACAAAGTTTTGCTCTAATGCTTCGAGTTAACAAGATGTGAGGATGAAACCCTACCTCACCCACCGTCTTTTTCCTCTTTCTTCTGGACACTTCTCACCAACCCCGATTTCTTCCATTAACTCCTACTTTACTCTTACCTGAGTCCCTTTCTACTCTCTTGTGCATCTTTGTCCTTTCCCTTTTATCCTTTCCCGTTGTTTTCCTGTCAATCCCTAAGGAAACCCCTTTTGAAATTGAAAAGGAATTTACTCCTCTCAGCTTAAATGCTTGCTAAGTGTTGGGTCCATCAAACGGACATGTCATTAAAGTGCCACATAAAACTTCTGGGAATGAATCTAACAGGAATACCACTGTTAAGGAGGTGACCCCAAAAGGAGCTGCTATTATGGTGGTAAGTTGCTCTGTTCCAAATGATGTTAATGCTCGTGATCAGCCAGCTGAGATTTCTATGTATATACCCACCGCAACAAGGGTTGAATGTTCACTTGGTATGGCCCTTGATAAATCAGAGGGCACCCGGAGTAACGTTGTGGAGCCAGACAACCTTACAGAGCTAGTGCTTGAAAATGAGATGCTAAGGACGATGGTTGAGACCAATAGGAATTTTGTTCAATGGGCTTTGAACCATAAAGGTTTGGTGATTTTGGAAATGGCCATGGGTGCAGAACTAGTGCAAGATTTCTAGGAAAACAGATTAATGGAGCAACACCAAATCCATCAACTGGTACTCCTTCCAACCTTTCTGTTAATCAAGAGACTATTGATAATGCTCTGGTAGAGAAGCAATCAAGCACATCCTAGGTCAATAAAGTGAGGCATAACCTCATATAAGTTATTGAAATGGAATTTATGGCCCCTAGCAAGAACAATGGTAGGATTACGATCCAACCAATGAAGCAAGTTGCTCTAAATGGGAGGCAAACATTGTGGGTTATTGTATTGGCAATAAATTGCCTTATAATCTGGTTAAGGCATCTGCTTTAAGAATGTGGAGTATGAAGGGGTTGTTTGAAGTCACTGCCAATCAGGAGAGTTTCTTTTTCTTTAGATTTTCAAGCATTGGTAACCAGAATGAGGTATTGGAGGATGGACCATGGCATATAGGGGGCCTACCCATTATCCTAAGGAAATGGCAACCTAGGCTTAAATTGCACAAGGAAGCTCTGAGGAAGATACCTATCTAGAAGTTCTTTAATATTCCTCATGAATACTGGACACCCAAGGGTTTCAGTTACATAGCAAGTTCAATGGGTGAACCGCTTTACATGGATAAACTCACTAAAGAAGGTAGTAGATCTTCCTTTGCGAGAATTTGCATTGAAATTGATATGAAGAAGCCATTCCCATAGACATTTGATTTACTGATGAAAGGAGAAAAGGAGGGAGATATTGAAATAGTAGAAATTAGTCAGTGAAAATACCAATGGAAGCCTCCAAGATGTGACCAATGTAAGGTTTTTGGACATAGTTGTCCTAAGATTCTTACAGAGTCTAGGATTCTGGTAAAAGAAGGTACGTCATTTGTAAATGAAGTAATCTCTAATGGAGGAATGATACAACAGGAAAGTATCTCTAACTATTTAGTGGTTGTTCATGATTTTTCAAATGATGGAGGAAATATGGAGTCTTTGAAAAAAGCCAAAGATAAAGTGAAAGAGAAAATAAATGAAGAGAAGGGTGGCTAGATTACCATTGAGCTCCAAACTAGTCCTAGTGCTATGAGTGGAGCTGTCTCTTCCCCCAAACAAATTTCAAGCACTAGAGTCTATGGCTTAGGGTGAGGAAGTAGTTTATGCTAGTGGTTTTGAATCACCTGAACCAAGTATCATGCTAGACAAAATCAAGAGGGTTGATGAAATTAAACAACTGATGACTACCTCTACAAGGAAAAAGAATAGGAAATCTAGGGGCAAGGTCAAGAATCAGGCTAGTAGTAGCCTAGTGGTAACTCATGAGGGGATGGGTAATCCTCCAATTTCAAACCCTAAATGACAAATTTCTCATGCTGAAATGTGAGAGGGCTTAATTGCCCTCTTAAACAAGCTAAAGTGAGGAGACAAATTAGTCAATCTGGAGTAGGGCTTTATAGTTTGGTGGAAACAAAAATTAGGAGAGTTAATAATGAAAGGATTTTTTATTACTATGTTCCCTGGATGGAATTTGATTAATAACAACAAATGGTCCATGAAAGGTAGGATATGGGTATGCTAGGATCCTCTTGTTTATGAGGTTGAGAGGCTGGACCAAATAATCAGGTTATCCATTGCAAGGCTACCTACTTGGCCAATAGGAACATCTTTTTTCCCTCTTTTGTCTATGCTCAAAATACTAAATTGCTTAGAAGACCACTATGGCTTAGCTTAGCGCAAAGGCATGCAAATATGATGAATAAAGCTTGGGTAGTGTTAGGTGACTTTAATGTTGTGAGGTCTATGGATGAACAGTTAGGGGGAATTAATGTCAGCGACAAAGGTAGTGAGGAGTTCTATGATTGCCTTTTGAGAGTAAAGTTCGAGGATTTAAAGTACTCAAGTAATCAACACACCTGGTGCAACAAAAGGTATAATGGGGGTTTTATTTCCAACAAATTGGACAGGATCCTTGTTAATGAATCATGGGCTACTGACTACCCTGCATCCGAGGGTTTTTTTTTGGTTTCAGGGATCTTTGCCCACTCAATGGCCTTACTTAGAGTTAGGGAGGGACAACCCAAGGGTAGAAGACCTTTCAAGTTTTTTGATTTGTGGACCAAGCATCAAGATTTCTTTCCAATTATGAGCAATGTTTGGAATACAAAGATCAGGGGCACTCCAATGTATCGAGTCTACCAAAAATTGAAGTTGCTAAAGAAAAAGCTAAAAGAACTCAACAAAAATTCATATAGTGACATCTCCACAAAAGCTATAGGGGCAAAGCAAGCTTTGGATGATGTACAAAGGAAATTTGATAGAAATCCTCAAAATGAAAATTTTTGGGAGGAGGAAAGAAGGAAGCTTCAAGAATATGTCCATTTGAGAGAGGCTGAAAAGAGTTTTTTTAGACAAAAATCCAAGGTCCAATGGCTGAACATAAAGGACCGAAATTCAAGGTATTTCTTTAAAACCATTAGTAAAACCATTAGTAAGCAAAAAATCCAAAGGAGATTAACTACAATTGAGAAGAAAGACGACTCCAAAGTTATTGATATGAGAAAGGATAAAAAGGAGGTGATACAATACTATGAAAATTTGTTGGGCTCTCTCCACCCTTGACCTCTAATTCTTATGCATTGGGTAAGGCAATTCATTACTCAAAGAATCTCTGGGCAGCAGACTTGTGCATTGGAACAAATGGTAACCAGGGAGGAAATTAAAAAGGTCATGTTCGCCATGAAAGAGGGCAAAGCCCCAAGGCTTGATGGTTACTCTGCAGGTTTGTTCAAGAGATCTTGGCATATTGTTGGATGTGGAATCACTGATGTTTTTCTTTCTTTCTTTGAGAGTGGAAGGTTGCTCCAAGAAATTAATTCCACAATCATTATCCTAATTCCCAAGGTTCCCAATCCTTCAAAACTTTCTAAATACAGACCTATTTCATATTGTAATGTTATCTATAAATGTATCTCCAAGATTATTGCTAATAGAATCAAGGAGGCTCACCCAAATTTGGTGGACAAATCACAGGTAGTTTTTGTTAGACGCGGGAGAATCCCTGACAATATTCTGCTCTCACAAGAATTGCTTAGAAATTATCATTTGGATGAAGGGGCTCCAAGGTGCACACTCAAGATTGATCTCATGAAAGCATACAATAATATGAGGTGGGAGTTTGTATTAGAAATGCTTAGTCATATGGGATTTCCTTAGAGGGTGTTACATTGGATTGAGACTTGTGCTACCACCCCTAAGTATTCCATTAGTATTAATGGTGAATTAAATGGAAACTTTGCAGGGAAAAAGGGCCTTAGGCAGGGTGACCCCATCTCCCTCTACCAGTTTGTGGTTGTTATGGAAGTGTTTAATGGGATGATGAAATCTATCACTCAGCAAGAAAGGTTTAAATTTCACTAGAGGTGTGAGAAAGATTTAATTACCCATCTTTGCTTTGTGGATGATCTTATGATCTTTTGCAAAGACACTCTTGATTTTACTAAAGCAATGAAAGAGGTTCTTCAAGTGTTTGAGATCTTTTCAAAACTCAAACCTAATCTATCCAAGAGTCATGTCTTCCTATCTAGTGTGCATCCTGAAATAAGAACAGAGATTGTGCAAGAATTGGGGTTTGGAATTGGGGAATTGCCTGTCAAGTACCTTGGGGTTCATCTTATTCCACTAGACTTAAGGTTGTTGATTGCCACTCTCTTGTTGACAGAATTACTGAGAGAGTTAGTTCATGGAACATAAAGTTCTTATCTTATGCAAAGAGGGTCCAACTGATTAATTATGTTCTCTTTGCCATTCAGTCTTATTGGTCCTCAATGTTTATCATCCCCAAGAAAGTCATTGTTCTTATTGAATAGATCTTGAGGAGATTTATGTGGTTTGGAGCAAATTTTGAGCCTGGAGGCGCAAAAGTGGTATGGGAAACTGTCTTTACCTAAGCAAGAAAGGGGTTTGGGGATTAAAGGGATTAAGGATTGGAATAGAGCTAATATTCTTAAACATGTATGGAATGTTATTTGTAGATCTAGTAGCTCAATATGGAGGGACTGGGTTGAAACCTACTTGCTGAAGAGATGTTTATGGTCCGTTAAGATTCCTTCTAATTTCTTATGGGCATGGAGGAAGATTCTGAGCCCAAGAGATGCTTTTAAGTCCCTTATTAACTATAAAAGTGGTATTGGAAACACAAGATTTTTATGGTTGGACCCTTGGCATCCTGAAGGGCCAATTTATCATAACATCGGGGATATGGTTTTAAGAGTCTCTGGACTGGGGATGGATGCTAAGGTATGCAGTATTATTGATGGAAGGGAATGGGCTTGGCCTTTGGCTGATAATGTGGACCTTCTAGAGTTGAAAAGAGGGATCCCTGTTGAAATGAAACCAAATCCAGATAATGAGGACACCTTACAATTGTTACCTTCCCCAACACTTGAGTTCAACACCAATACCGCTGGGGAACAACTCAGAAATAAATGTCAAATTCAAAACTAGCATAGCATTGTATGGTTCTTAGGAGCAGTGCCCGGGTATAACTTTATTTTTTGGCTAGCAGTACAAGAGAAACTTACTACCCAAGATAAATTAATTTCTTATGGAATTCTTCAAATAGCCCGATGTGCTTATTGTAGAGAGGTGACTGAAACTCATGCCCACCTCTTTTTAGCTTGTTCTTTTACAAAGAGAATTTGGTTATTTTTGCAAAGCAAACACAATGTCCAATGGCCTAGCTTGGAGTGGAGGAATCTGGTTAATTGGTTTGCAATTAATGCTAAGGGGAAGGGACTTGGGAAACTGATTAGCGAGCTTATCCTTGTAACTGTAGTCTTTGTGATTTAGGGAGAAAGAAATTTTAGGATTTTTAGAAATGACTATGAAGATATGGTGACTATTTCTAACAATGTGGTGGATTGCATTAGATTTAAACTTTACTTGAGTAGGGGTTACAAAAACTGTTCCTAATCTTTGGCTGCAACAACAATGGATATTTTTTATCCTCCTTGAGGGTTTTCTTGTTCCTGGTGCCATGTTTTGGGGTGAGGCA